TGCCACAGCGCCGGCCCCTGGAAAGGTTTCTGAACTGCCATTGAGGATGAGCAGGAGGGAACTGCAGAGAAGGAGCCTGGTGGGATTGGGGTGAGAAGGGCACTGGGCAGCGGCCAGGCTGGGAGAAGGTAGAGCATATTCCAGAACCAAAACCAAGCCGGTTGGGGCGATGGTACCATGCGGTGGCTTGGGGATGTGTGACACCCCAGGGGCATATCTTTAGCCTCCTGCTACCACTCCACACAAACATGCAGGCCAAGTAAGATGAGCCTACTGATCCTGTCAGGGCAGCTGAGGACAAGTCCCACGGTCTGCTCCCTTTCAGCCAGCTTGCATGCGGCTCCTCCCCACCAAAACCCTCCCAACAGAAGCAACTCTAGGAACCCAGCCATGCACGCTGGGTGCAAGCCGAATAGACCATGAGCATGAGAGGCAGGAGAGGAGAGAAAAGTGAACAGATTGAAGAGACGTTGGAGAGCTAACATTATCAAGGCATAGGTGGCCTGAATTTGTAAGTCAGGAAGGAAGAGATTGAGGGTGGGAGGGCAATTTTAAAATATGGTGGGGGCTGGCGCTGTGGTGTAGCGAGTAAAGCCACCGCCTGCAGTGCCAGCATCCCATATGGGCGCCGATTCAAGTCCTGGCTGCTTCACTTCCAATCCAGCTCTCTGCTATGGCCTGGGAAAGCAGTGGAAGATAGCACAAGGACCTGCACCTGCAGGGAGACCCGGAGGAAGCTCCTGGCTCCTGGCTTCGGATGGGCGCAGCTCCAGCTGTTGCAGCCATCTGGGGAGTGAACCAACAGATGGAAGACTCTCTCTCTCTCTCTACCTCTGCCTTTCTGTAACTCCGCCTTTCAAACAAATAAATAAATCTTTTAAAAATTGAAAAAATAAATTAAAAAATAAACTACAGTGCCTATACTCTGAGGCTCTTCTCATACAGAGACGGAGTTCAGGCCCCCTCCTTGGGTCGGGCTCTGTGACTGTTTGACCTGCAGAGCAGAGTGGAAGGCAGTGTCCACCTCCTGCCTCCCTGGGCATCTGCTCTTAAACTCCAGCCACCATGCTGGGAGAAAGCCTGGGCTTCCCTGGGGAGAGGCCACAGACAGAGGAACCAGAATCGGCACCAGCTCTCCAGCCACCAAATGTACCATCTTGGAAGTGGATCTTGCAATCCCTGCTCAGCCACCCGAGCTGACACTGCATGGAGCAAGGACTAGTGGGTCCCTGCGGAGCCCTAACCGAACTGCAGGTTTGAGAGCACAAGAAATGATTATTATGGTCTTTAGTTACTGGATTTGGGGGGAGGGTGTTTTATCCCATGGCAACAGAAAATGTAGCAGATGTCTGCTGGGTTTCTCGCTTTCCCTCCTAGATGGCTAAGGGTGCCACTTATCAAGACAGAGATCACTGGGAAAGACCCCGCCTTGGGGTCATAGATCACAAGTCTTGCTTTCAGTTTGTGAGTCTGGAGCGCTGGGAGATATCTAAGTGGAGAGTGCCATGGGCTGTTGGACCTGTGGGACTCCCAGCTCAGGGGAGCGTGCAGGTTGTGAGTCAGCGTGGAGGCAGTGGGCGGAGCTGCAGCTGGGAGAGGAGCCAGCCCTGTGCCTGAAGAGCTCTGACCGCTCCACAGGGCGGAGGAGAGCCAGGCTGTAAAGGGGACAGGAAGGGTGAGGCCAGCCGTGGAGGAGTACCAGGAAAGGATGCATCACGGGAACCGGCCGAGCAGTCTCGGGAGGGAGGGGGGGAGGGAGGGGCCAGCAAGGTCGGAGCACGTGCTGGGCCAGGTGACCCAGTGACCAGCTTCGCAGTAAGCAGCGTGAATGGGTTACCAAGGAGCCCCGGGAGAGCAGAGGACAGGTGAGGCACACACCTGTGCGCGTGAACCAGTCCTGCCCTAGAGCCTTCTTCTCGCACTGGCCCCTGGACCCGTAGCATCATCACGTGGGAGCGTATTAGGAATGCAGCTCTCAGGCCTGCTACCTGGGCCCTACCAAGTCAGCCTGCCCTTGAGCAAGCTCCCGGATGACTTGCGTGCACACTCAAGTGGGAGAACACACGCACCTGTGCCTGCTGAGTTTTCATCGAACCAGAGGGTGGACAGTAACTCTCAAAGAAACTGAGCTGGGAGCCTCATGCAGGGCCCCAGAGGCGACTCTCCACGGACCCTCCTTCTCCCCAAGCTCCAGTCTCTAATTCACAACACAGCCTACATGCACATAGGCATCAGGTGGGTGGCTCCTGAAAAATCAGAGACGCCCAGAGCCTGCCCCTGAGGGCTGTGACTCAGCAGGTATCGGGGGTAGACACCAGGCATCCATTTTTCCTGCACAGGGGATTCTGATGGGCAGCCAGGGGCGACAGCCACTGCTCTCAACTTTCAGCCCCCTCCACGTGTCCATTTCGCTCTGATCATTCAGGATATCTATTTGCCCTTTGGGGCTGGGCCCTTGCTGGCCATGGTAATCCTGATGCTATCTCAGAGAGACAGTGTGCTTTGCCTCAGGCACACGAGCTCTTCCTGCCTGCGCTGGCTTCTCACCTGTGCTCAGGTACCAGCAGGTGGAGTCCAGGCCCCAGGGGAGAGCCAGGCCTTGGAGACTGGAGCGGCACAACACCCAGGGGCACAGAGCATTTGAGGGCAGGCCACCCCATCTTGTAGCTGAGTGTGCAAGGTGACATCACCCTGGCTCTGGCCTGAATATCACACTTTCAGGGTCAAGATTAACTGGGAAGAAGACCACTCTCTTCTGTGACTCTCATCAGATGTGCACGGCTGAGACAGCCTTGCAAAGTGCACCCTGCAACGGCATGGAGCAGGGTGACACTGGGCTCACACATGCTGCCCCGACAGGCCAGACCCTGGGGAACCTCCCGAACTTGTGTGACCAACAGGACTGTGGCACTTGAAAAGGGGTGTGTCGGGGCCAGCGCTGTGGTGCAGTGTGTTAAAGCCCTGGCCTGCAGTGCTGGCATCCTATATGGACACTGGTTCAAGTCCCAGCTGCTCTACTTCCCATCCAGCTCTCTGCTATGGCCTAAGAAAGCAGTAGAAGATGGCCCAAGTCCTTGAGTCTCTGCACCCATGTGGGAGACCTGGAAGAAGCTCCTGGTTCCTGGCTGTGGATCAGCTCAGCTCTGGCCGTTGTGGTCATTTGGGGAGTGAACCAGCGGATGGAAGACCTCCCTCTCTCTCTCTGGCTCTACCTCTCTGTAACTGCCTTTCAAATAAATAAAATAAATATTTAAAATGAAGAAGAAGAAGAAGAAGAAGAAGAAGAAGAAGAAGAAGAAGAAGAAGGATGTGTCGTGCCTCTAACAAGACACCAGGGAAAAATTCCAGCACATAATAATCGGACCCCGAGAAGTCAGCGACTTGGGAACTTGGCTCCCATCAAAAACCCGTTACAAATCAGGCATCTCTGGGCGTCCTGAAACATCTACACGCGGAGAGAAAAGCCCTTTCTCATCTGGTGCAACATTTTGTGATGATGGATTCTGTTATTTCTCTGTGGCTCTGGGACGAGCGGTATAAGTGTGTACGTGTGTGTGTGTGTGTGCGAGAGAGAGAGAGAGAGAGAGAGAGAGAGAGAGAGAGATTGAGATGAGTCTTTAAAGGCCCCAGGGGCTCCAGGCAGTGCTACCTAGTGGTCTCTGGAGCTCGCTAGCGGTTCCCCTCTGCGGCTGCAGCTTCCATCACGTTCCATCTTTCCCTGGGCTCTGATCACTGGAAAACTTCCCAGAGTGAAAGAGCCTTGATTTTTGTGCAAAATTGGAGCCTTTTCTCTAAGCCCTTGGAAGCGTCTTGGCACGTGGTGGCTTTGGTGGAGGAGGGGATAACGCTGGACTCCTCCCCAGGGACCTCACCTCCCTTTTCCTGGCACGCGTCTGCTAGATCAGAGCTCGCGGCCGCTCGGCCGCCAGAGTCTGGTTAGAGCCGCACCACTCACACTCTCCCCCGCTAACAGTAACGGCAGCGGTAGGCGCTGGCGTTTACGGAGTGCTTCGTGCGTGCCCGGCGCTGCTCTAAGATCTTGGCATGTGCAGACTCAGCCGGCGTCCTTGACAACCCTACGGAAAGGACAGCGTGCATTTTGCACACTGTAAGTTGCCCTCTCCATTTCCCAGACTAGGAAGCTGAGGTTTTGCAAGATGAAGTGATTTTCCCACACGGCAGTCAGCCGAGGGTGGACCAGGGCTGGGGACAGCCTCCTGGAGCACCTGTGACAGCAGCGAAGCATCAAGGCAGGAGGAGGGCGGCAGCGTCTCCCGGGCAGGCAGGTGCATAGGCGGTGTGTCATTGGCTCTGCTTCAAAATGTCAGCACGTGGCCATCCGACTGTTCTTCAGTTCCCTAGCATACTGACTTACGACACCTCCCTACGACCTTCTGTGATGGCTTCTGCCTCCCCAAAGTCTGAGCAGTCCTGGGCACAGTCTCCCCAGCCTGGTGTTTCTCCGCCTGTTCATCAGGAAAGTGTGTCATTCGGCACGACCAGATGCAGACAGGAAGAAGGGAAAGGCCAGCGGGTCCTGTAGAAGCCAATTCAACTTCCACCTCCTCCGGGAAGCTTCCCAGGAACTCCCATCTGGACTTCCTTTGTCTACAAAGACGTAGGTTTGTGTCCCGAGGTTCCAATGAGGCAGGATGGGAGGCAGTATCGTGGGTTTGATTTGTGACAGCCTTCCTTGCTCATCTGTGGGTAGCAATGGCTATTTCACCACCAAATGTTTCCCAGGTACAAGCTCTGATTTCCGGGCCTCTCCGATCCCTTCCCCCACAAGTATGCAGACAAGAAGGTGCTGGGAGCCTGACTCTGGCCTGGGCAGGCCGGGCAGGACAGGAAGGCAGCAGGAGCAGCAGGCACACTTTATCGCTGGCCTGAAAACATGCCCAGGAACTGGTTCTGCTGGCCAGGGTCACCCAGGGGTCAGGCCTCCTTACCAGAAGGGCCGGAACGGCCCTCTCCAGGCAATTCAGAGTTAAGGCCACTTTTCCGCCAGAGCTGGGTCAGCTTTTTGTGGCAGGGTTTGTTTCCTACGGCAAAATTGCCGCTTTTATGCATGACTGGGCTCCAGCCAGAGTCCGGATGCAAGGAAGTGAATCGGCAGCGGCCGTGGAGGGAAAGTTGCTAGCCCAGCCCGGGGAGGAAGCTCACCGCGCTGCTCTGCTCCGCCGTCCTCCTCGGGGCTTGAAGTCTCCTCCCGGTCTGGGCTCACTCAGGACTGCGGCCACTCCAGGGTTCCCCTCTGCTGCGGCGCCCTCTCAAACTATACGCTCAGCAGCAAGCTGCTCGGATGCAGGCCAATGAGGGGGAAACTCTGACCTCCGCCGCGCGGACCTACTGCCAGCAAGTGAGCTGCCTGAGCTCACTGACCATTCCCCGCTCTGTCTCCAACCCACCCCCAACTGCCCCCCGCTCCAGGACCCTAAGGCCAGATTTGTGAGTACTTTTTTTTCCATCTTTTTGGAAAGCAGGGGAGGGAGGGAGGGAGGGAGGGAGGGAGGGAGGGAGAAAGAGAGAGAGAGAGAGAGAGAGAGAGAGAGAGAGAAATAGAGATCTTCCATCTATTAGCTCACGCCGCCTCCCCAAAGCCCACATTACCTGGGGCCAAGCCAAGCCAAGCCAAGCCAAAGCCAGAAGCTAAGAACTCAACCCTGGTCTCCCACATGGGTAGCAGAGACCCAATTACTTGAGCCATCCCCTGCTGCCTCCCAGCGTGGGCATTAGCAGGAAGCTGGAATCAGATGTGGCGGCGAGACGCTGACCCAGCAGGCACTCCGACATGGAATATGGGTGTACCAAGTAGTGTTTTACCTGCCACCCAAATACCTGCCCCAAAGCTGGATTCTGAGACACAGGGCAGGAGAGGGAGAGCCTAGGGCCCGGGAGAACTTCGCTGGGCCATCGGCCAGGCACGCCTGGGCTTCCCTGGCTGAACTACAAGGTGAGCTCCAGACCAGAGTCCCCTGTGGGGCTCCTGAGTTGCCTGGTTTAGCTCTTCACGTCCTCATCATGGCTGGACCCCGGAAGCCCACGACAGTTTCTGGGTGGTGAGCTGTTGGCCGAAACACCCGGAACTAAAAGCACTCCTAGGTTTTCCTAAACCGCACCCCCACACACACACACACACCCCGCAGCTTCCTTCTCTTCCTTCTGCTCTCTTCCTGTGTCCAGGAACCCTGAGCCAAGACTTCATCCTGCCGCAGGGGCTCGTGGGTCCCCACACCGCTGCCTCGCTGTTTGGAGCCTGACTTGGATTCGTCCGGTCGTCTAAGTTCTCTCGGAAGGGTTTCCCCTGGTCCAGAGCTTCAGAACTGCTGAGGTGCCCTGGTCTTTGGAGAAGGCCTTTCTGGTGTTGTTTTTGGAAGGGTTTGAGTCTTCTCGCTTTGTGAAGACACTGGCTAAGTTGCCGTCTTTCTCCGCCTCAGTTTCCCCGTGTGTGATGCAGTTATGAATGCTGTCCCCATGTCTTTCTCTGGTGTTAAGGCAGTGGTTAAAACCCTAGACAGTGAAGGTATCTAGAGCCACATCCTGGATTTCCCGGGACTATCTTGATTTCAGACACTTGGTGCCCATCTTGGCCTTTACCCTTCATAATCCTGAGAGTATTTCAAATTCTTTATTCCAGCCATGAGCTGAGGTTTTATGGACTGATATGCAAATAAAAGCCACTCTGGTTCTGGGCACTGGCCTGGAAGGTGCGATTCTGCCCAGCAGGAGCACAACCGTGTCCCGGCGGGCCCTCCTGGGGACACTCCGGGAGCCTCTCCCCCTGCCCCGGACCCCGTGTTTCGCCCCACCCAGGGCCCTGGACAGAGCAGGGGGCCACTCACCTGCACAGAGCACCCACGGCACAGGCCACATCTTCCCCCACCACGGTCTCGCTCCCTGTGTGTCCCCCACGCAGCCGGGCACTAGCAGGCGCCACACTGGTCTGGGCTGACAGGTCACAGCTACAACTGCCCCTGGCCAGACCCAGCCTGAGCTCCCTGCAGTTCTCTTCCTGCCTTCCTCTGTCCACAGGCCCCACCCCTTGGGCAGACTGGCAGGTGAACTCACCTGTGGCGCTGGGCTGATGCCCCACCTCCTCCAGCAAGGATCCCAAGAGGAGTCTTTGCCAGCTTCCCCGAGAGCCTGTCGCCTCCTCTGTCTTCTCCCTGTTGAGTAGGTGGACAAAGTCCTGGGCTTAGCCCTAAGGTGTGGGCCTCTCTCGTAACTGACAGGAATTGGTGCTTTGTAATAAAAAGGGAAACTATCTGAGAGGCAAGGTTGCAAGGCAGTAAAAGGAGGGTGGAGCCCGCATTTGCAGAAGCACTTCGCACTGTGATCTGTTCCTTTGCTTCACTCCTCTCCCCAGTGCCCTGCCCACAGCACACTGGAGACACGGTCCTGGAGAGCACGGGAAGACCCATCCTCAGAGTTCATAACCGTGGGAAAGTGGTCAGCACACGAGGAAACGAAGCTCGTCTTGGAGGCCATGACTGCGTCGTCTCATACTTCTTGGATTGTTCCTATTTCAAACCCAAAACAGGTAAAGCTGCTGTCTGCAGCACCAGCGTCCCATATGGGTACCAGTTCGAGTCCTAGTTGCTCCACTTCTGATCCAGCTCCCTGCTAATGCACCTGGGAAAGCAGTAGAAGATGGCCCAAGTGTTTGGGCCCCTGCACCCACGTGAGAGACCTGGAAGAAGCTTTGGCTCCTGGCTTTGGCCTGGCCCAGCCCCAGTTGTTGAATATATTTGGGGAGTGAACCAGCAGATAGATGATCTTTTGGGAACACCACAAGTCTCCGAGAGCAGCCCTGGTATCAGTTCTTCCATTTATATTCTGTAGTTTGGTGGAATGTACACAAGTGATAGTGTGCATATATGCTGCTCTACAATGAGGTTTGGTTCATTTTTATTTTTAATTTAGCAAAATGCCACAGAGTTTTCTGTATCAATATATATAGTACTATCACCTTCTGTTTTTCTGAGTCCAAGTAAGTTATTTGCTCATATTTCTTCTTTTTTTTTTTTTTTTTTTTTTGACAGGCAGAGTGGACAGTGAGAGAGAGAGAGACAGAGAGAAAGGTCTTCCTTTGCCGTTGGTTCACCCTCCAATGGCCGCCGCGGCCGGCGCGCTGCGGCCGGCGCACCGCGCTGATCCGATGGCAGGAGCCAGGAGCCAGGTGCTTTTCCTGGTCTCCCATGGGGTGCAGGGCCCAAGCACCTGGGACATCCTCCACTGCACTCCCTGGCCACAGCAGAGGGCTGGCCTGGAAGAGGGGCAACCGGGACAGAATCCGGCGCCCCAACCGGGACTAGAACCCGGTGTGCCGGCGCCGCTAGGCGGAGGATTAGCCTATTGAGCCGCGGCGCCGGCCTCATATTTCTTCTAAGTTGTTAACCTGCTTCTGGATGTGACAAGTATTGCAATCACTTTTCCCCAACATTTGTGTGTGTGTGTGTTTGTGTGTGTGTGTTGTGTGTTCATAATTTTCTCAATCAATTATTTTATCAATCCCCTATGGCTACCAGGTATAGTTGGCATACAAAGGTCATTCTATTCTATTTTATTACATGTTACTCAGTCACCTTTCTTAAAATCTCCAATTATGTGTAATAATTTCTCAACACTTTTAAAAACCATTGTCAAGTTGATCTTCCTAACAAACAGCCCTGATGTATTTTCAGGTCCTATCACCAATTCTGTAGAATCTGAGAATTGAAATCAAACTCCTTACATTGGCCTTTAAGATGTTCTAGCCCTTGTTTTCCAAACAGACTGCCTTGCATACCTCTTTTCTAGAATGTGTGGTTTAGGCCCTGACCAGAACTCATCCTTTCCGCCCTAGAACTTTGTCCATGCAGTCTCCTCTGTAAGTCCTTTCCCTTCTCTATCAGTTGTTATAATCTGACTTTTTTTAAAAAAAGATTCATTTATTTACTTGAAAATCAGAGTTACACAGAGAGAGAAGGAGAGGCAGAGAGCAAGAGGTCTTCCATCCGCTGGTTCACTCCCCAGTTGACTGCAACAGCTGGAGCTGCGCCAATCTGAAGCCAGGAGCCAGGAGCTTCTTCCGGGTCTCCCATGCCAATTCAGGGGCCCAAGGACTTGGGCCGTCTTCTACTGCTTTCCCAGGCCATAGTAGAGAGCTGAATGGCAAGTGGCTTTACCTGTTACACCACAGCGCCGGCCCCCTGACTTGTTCTTAAAAGCCAGCTTACTTGAAAGTTCATGGGAAAATGGAAGTAAAACATACATTTACTTTGTTGGAAAAATATTTGAAATCCATGCATAATTTCTTCATAATATGTATTTTCCATGCAGAGGAGCCAGCACTGTGGCACAGTGACTTAAGCCACCACTTGTAACACCTGCATGCCTTGTTAGAGCACCAGTTCAAGTCCTGGCTGCTCCACTTCCAATCCAGCTTCCTGCTAATGTGCCTGTGAAGACAGCAGATGATAGCCCAAGTACTTGGGGCCCTGCATCCTGTGTGGGTGACCAGGATGGAGTTCCTGGCTCCTGACTTTGGTCTGCCCCTGAAATGGCTATTGTGGCCATTTGGGAAGTTAACCAGTAGATGGAAGATCTCTCTGGCTCGCTCTCTCTCTCTCTCTCTCTCTCCCCCCCCCCTCTTCCTCTCCCTTCCGTCCTCCATCTCTGTCTCTGTCTTTCCCTCTTCCCTGTTGCTCTGCCTTTCCAATAAATTCATTTTTGAAATCTTTGAAAACAAAACAAAACAAAAAAGACCCCTCATATATCCCTCTTCTTGCCTTTTATGATTTGTGCGACCACAAGGGCTCGCTCTCTCTTTTGAACTTGTACAGCACTTGCCTCTCTTTTAGGACCCTAACTCTGTTCTCTCTTGTGCTTGAGTTATTTTTGGTTTGTGTCTCATTCCTCTTAATAAACTGTGATCTCATTCATTCATTTGGCCAATTTCTAATGATACTATGTGCTGGGCATTGTTCCACCTAACTAGGAAGAAAGGCAATTGTAAGCTATGTGTGTTACTAACCTTGGTCAAAGTACAGTGCCTGAGGCATTATGGAGAATCAGTCAGTATTGGTATCAGTAAGTGTGCAGACAGATGGGTGAATGAATGAACAGATAAAGGGGTGATTATAGAATGTGTAGGATGACTGGGGTGAACTGTTGGGTTATTTGGCTCTGTTTTGACCATAATGATACAATAGAGCTCATTTGAAGCTTATGAAGCTTGGAGACTTTCTCCATCACCCGGGTTGCCACTTAACCATCACCACAGGGTATGAATGTGGGCGTGGAGTGTGGCAAAGGAGCACAGCTGCTCAGTTCCCTGTCCAGAGACATCTCTGCTAAAAGAAATGTCATTCTGGTCACCAGCAAAAGCTACCCCTCAGTCACATTGTGGCACTCTCTCTGGTGACATGGGCTGAGGTCAGTTGTTTCATTTCTCCAGATCCTTGGATTTAGTCAGTCTTCTGGAAGGGCTGGACCGGGCAGCCACAGGTGGGAGGGGCTGGAGGGAACTCAGAGAAAACCCTAGCTTTGTCCTCTGCCTACACAAACACCCAGGCTGAATGTCAGCGTGGGGAGAACCAGCCAGGAGGCAAAGAGTTAAGTGAAGCGGCTCTCTCTGGGTCTTGAGCTTGCATTCCTTCCTCCCAGAGATCTGCCAGCCTGTGGGGCCAGAGGCTAAATTTAGAGGGTGGCTAAGGTTTCTTGTTAACAGCTGTCCTGCCCCTCAGAGGAGCAGCCTTGGGGAGAGGTTGGTCTCTCCAACGGTCACTTCCTCTGGGCCGCTCAGCCCCTGGCGTGGACGGACAGACGGCAGGCAGTGGTGAGTGTGCTTCTCCCCTCGTTTCTGCCCTGGGGAGCTGGGACCCCCAAGCTAAGGGCCAGCAGTTCGGCCCTGAGTGTCAGGGCCCAGACATGAGATCTGGGACTCACTGCTGGGAGACTTCAAGTCCCTTACCAGGCTGTGGGATGGCCCCTGAGCCCAAGGCCCTGAATCCGGGGGCCTTGGTTAGATTCTCTGCTGGGCCAGCTGTACCAGCCATGGTAGAGGCAAAAGGGGTGTGTGTGTGTGTGTGCGACATACAACCTATGAGTGCAACAGCTTCTTGGTAGGATCTGTGGAGTGAGCCAAGGTGTCCCTTCTTAAATAATGTGACTCCAAGGCGGGCTGTTAACACAGCCACAGCCTGCTTCTTGTCATCCTGGCTATAGGAGCTAGGCGGGGTCTCTTCCCCTTGGGCCTTTTACCCACCAGCGTATCAGCATGTGGTGACCTTCACCGAGATGACATCACCAACACCCCCACCACGCGCATACACACCACACACACAATCTCCAGAAACCGATCTCTCCTAATGGCCTTTCTTCTGCCACCCTCACAGAGGCTGACAGGCTGTCATGGCGACCCAGGGGGACCCAGAGGACGAGCAGGTAGTCCCAAGCGAGGAGGATGAAGCGGACGTGAGGACGGTGCAGGCCCGGTACCTTCGGAGCCCCTCCCCCAGCCAGTAAGTGTGCGGTGCTGAGCCCCTACCCCCACCACGGCGGCCATGGCCCAGGCGGGGCTAGAGAGTGTGAGGCGGGGTGGGCCCAGGCTTCCCCGGCCACCCCCTAAGCCCACTCAGGCCACAAACACTGCTGAGCCCACACGTGCGTCAGGTGTTCCGGGGAAGGCAAGCGCACAGACTGATTGCAAGCACTAGATATTGGCGTGTCTAGGGTCCAGGGCGTGGCGAGCCAGCCGAGGGAACAGCTCCTCTTGGAATGGGCAGAGGACGGTTGTCAGAGGAGACAGAGCTGCACCGGAACCTCTGGGAGCTTGCAGTCTACCTGCGGGGCGGTGCTTGCGTCAGGAGGACGGAGACCGAATAGGGGGATAGTGGCCGTAGGCTCTAAGAGGGTGTCGAGGGGCGGGGCGCGCAATGCATCTTCCTGCAAGGCCTTCTTGGTTTCCTGGCAACTGATTGAACACTTTCGTTGACATGGAAACCACGGAGGATACATTATGATGAAGAAGGACAAACCTGCACGAATTTTAACGGAAAATCGCGAGTTGTTAAAGATATGTCATGCTTAACTGCCCACTAAAACCACGGGGCGTGTGCCTGTCCATTTTCTTCGGCCAGCAACGATAGCAGAGCCCTGACTTCTGATAGCTCTGTCGCCAAGTTTATATGAAGGCTCACTTAAATAACGGAGCCCGCGTCTCCTTGTCTGTGGTAAGGGAAGGGAAGGCGCAGCTAAACTTGCTGAAGGCGATTGTACCTCTCCGTGCCTGTGATTGGATTGACTGCCTTTTCCTTGTGCTCCTGGGGTCTTGCTGGCTCCTGAATCAGAGTTCAAAACACCTCTCCACTGCAGTAAGACAAGAGCAAGACAGCTGGGTCTCCACGCGCAGGCCAGAGCACTTTGCCCAAGTGGAACTCGGGAGATTTCTCCTTTAAAATCCCTCAGTGTGTTCCCACTTAGCAGCACAGTCAGGACTGAGAGATTTATAATACACCCTGCCCTTGCTGTGCACCCCTGGGTGAAGCGGAGTAGCTTAGCCTGTGGTCAGCACAGGTGACAGCTTCGAGAAGGACTTAGGTGGGTCTTTCTTGCTTGCTCAGTAAGTCCCACCGGCACCTGAGTGGCGATTCGGAAGTTGAGGCTCCTTCTGTCGTCTGTAGCCACCTTTTCTAAGCGTGGCTTTTAATGGCACTGGGCTTGTCAGCATCCAGACAAAGCAAGGAAGAGCGTGAAGAGCTTCTAGGAAGTTTTTATGGACCAAATCTGCAAATGGCCACGTCATCGCCCCTCATATCCCATTGGCTAGAACTTAGTGAGGCCACGCTTTCTTGCAAGAGCGGATAGGAAGTGGGGGCCATGGGCCCAGGAGAAAGAACAGTGAGTCCATCAACAGACAGCAGTCCCAGCCACTCAACCTGTGTTGCCTTAGCTCCCACTCATAGGACACACTTGCTGCCTCCCAAGGGAGACAACTTCAAATCCCATTTACCAACTGCTGCATATATGGTTCCAAAGTCTAGGTTCTCCGGTGGGTACGCACGTTCTCCCTTGGGTCGGAAGGCAGCACTTGGTGGTCCGGCCAGGAACACTGCAGGAAAAGGTCCTGTGTTATAAAAAGAGGGCTGGGAGATTCAGCAGTCATATAATGAATGAGCTTGTCTGCCCCAGATCTGAGGGACCCCCTGGAGATAACCTTGACTCCCCAATCCCGGAGGAACTACTTTACCTGCCATTCTCTTGGCCTCTGGCTCCAGCCTCGGGGTCTTCTTTCATGTCCATTATGCTCCATGGCTGCTGCTTAGGTGAGGCTGCACAGGATCTCTTCAGTGATGGCAGTGGAATTTCTTTCCACAGACTCTTGCGCATGGAAGTTTGGGGGCCCAGGGGCTGTTTTGAGGCTTATTCTGCCCCCAAAGCTCATTATTTGTAATTTTTAAAGTCTTAATTTTTTATTTATTTGAAAGGCAGAGTTAGAGAGAAAGAGAGACAGAGACAGAGAGAGAGAGAGAGATCTTCTATCCACTGGCTCAGCCCCCAAATGCCCACAACAGCTGGGGCTGGGCTGGACTGAAGCCAGGAGCCAGGAGCTTCTTCCAGGTTTCCCACGTGGGTGCAAGGGTCCAAGCACTTGGGCCATCTTCTACTGCTTTCCCAGGCACATCAGCAGGGAGCTAGATTGGAAATGGAGCAGCTGGGTCTCAAACTGTAGCCCATATGAGATGCTGGCACTGCAGGTGGAAACTTAACCTGTTATACCATAATGCTGCCCACCCCTTTTAAAAAAAAAAAAAAGATGTATTTTTTATCTGAGAAGCTTTTTAGAGCACACTGTTTCCTTGAAAGTATGATCCCTTCAAAAACACAATAGGTTTCTGATTATGCAGGTCAGATAATTCCATGTATTAATCAACACGCTTGGAGTCTTTCCTAGGCATAACAATCAACCTTGATTTATTTCTTCACTCCCTTGTCTAAGTTTAATAACAGTTATCTCGAAAGCTTGACTGAAGCTGTAACTTTGGGTGAGAAGTCCAATAATATCAGCAAGAGGCTGGATCAGAAGTGGGGCAGGTGTGCCGTGAACTGCACTCTGATACGGAATGCCAGCGTTACAAATGGCAGCATAGACCACGGCACCACAATACCAGCCCCTCTGGTGTAATTCTTAGAAGGTTTCGCAACAGAATGTTTAACAAATTAACGAGAGGAAGATGCAATCATAAAATATAATCCATCCAAAAAGGGGAAAGAAAGAAAAGGCAAACGTCTGAGAAGAAAACAATAAATGACACATTTAAATATAAATAAGTAGTTGCATTAAACGTAAATAGACAAAATATTCCAGTTAAAGACAAAACGGTCAGATTTAATTGTTTTCAAAGCCTGCATACTGTTTACGAGAGACACGCCTTAAAAATAAGGATAAACAGGCCGGCGCCGAGGCTCACTAGGCTAATCCTCCGCCTAGCGGCGCTGGCACACCGGGTTCTAGTCCCGGTTGGGGCGCCGGATTCTGTCCCGGTTGCCCCTCTTCCAGGCCAGCCCTCTGCTGTGGCCCGGGAGTGCAGTGGAGGATGGCCCAGGTGCTTGGGCCCTGCACCCCATGGGAGACCAGGAAAAGCACCTGGCTCCTGGCTCCTGCCTTCGGATCAGCACGGTGTGCCGGCCGCAGCGCGCTGGCTGCGGCGGCCATTGGAGGGTGAACCAACGGCAAAAAGGAAGACCTTTCTCTCTGTCTCTCTCTCTCACTGTCCACTCTGCCTGTCAAAAAATAAAAATAAAAAAAAATAAAAAAAAAAGGATAAACAAAGGTTAACAGAGAATAGAAAACTTGTGCTGCCCTGTTCCAGTGACCGTGGCTCATAACTTCAGCATTTCATGGCATGACACCACTGTTTGATTGTGTAGGGATATGTGGTCTTTGCTCCAAGGCAACTGGACAGCCTCGAAGGTTGGGACTGACTTTAAGGCTGAGGTTTCTTTTTCTTTTTTTCTTTTAGATTATTTATTTGAAGGTTAGAATTACAGAGAGAGAAAAAGGAGAGACAGAGTGAGATCTTCCATCCACTGGTTCACTTTCCGAATAGCTGCAACTGCCAGGGCTGGGTCAGGCTAAAGCCAGGAGCCAGGAGCTTTATCCGGGTCTCCCATGTGGATGCAGGGGCCCAAGGACTTGGCACCTCTTCCACTGGTTTCCCAGACACATTAGCAAGGAGCTGGACTGGAAGTGGAACAGCTGAGACTCGAACCCGCACCCATATGGGAGGAGGGCTTAACCGGCTGTACCACAGCTCCAGCCCCAGCTGAGGGTTTCTCAATAGCTGGTGGCCTGTGTCCCAGAGGCATCTGCACATTGTTGGCAATTCCTGCCGTACTCACCTGAGTTGTTGCCTAGACTTCAGGCTATACCAGTATCAGACACAGTCGATGTTAAGGTAAGCATCGCTAGATACAAGAGGAACATTCATGATGATCAAAGGTTCAGTCCACCAGGAAGACATAGTTTTAAATTTCTGTGATGTAATAGCATAGCATCAAAACACATAAAGGAAAAAATGGACAGAGTGGAAGAAAGAATTAAAATCCATAATCTTAGTCAAATATATATATATATGTATACATATGTATTAGTTTTATTTATTTGAAAGGCAGAGTTAGCAAGAGAGAGAGAGAGAGAGAATCTTCTGTCCACTGGGTCTCTCCCCAAATGGCCACAGGGCCAGGGGTGGCCCAGGCTGAGGCCAAGAGCAAAGAGCTTTATCCAGGTCTCTTATGTGGGCAGAGGGGCCCACGAACTTGAACCAGCTTCTGCTGATTTCCCAAGCACATTAACAGGGAGTTGGATTAGAAGTGGAACAGCTGGGATGCAAACCAATGCCCATGTGGGATGTCAGCCTTGTAGGCAATGGCTTAACTTACTATGCCACAATGCTGGCCCCCAAATGTATTTTTAAAAAACTTATCTCAGCAATTGATAGAAAGAAACAAAAAATGATTAAGAATATGGGAAGTTTGAACAAAGCAAAGAGCAATATTAGCCTGATTGGCATATATATGTACCACCACCTGCAGGATACACAGTCCAGTCTGATGGTGTGCGCATGGAACATTTGTCAACACAGGTCATATATTGAGTCATTCATATAGGAACAAAGCTATTTATTTGTTTTTCCTATTTTATTTATCTATTTTTTTTTTTTTTGACAGGCAGAGTGGACAGTGAGAGAGAGAGACAGAGAGAAAGGTCTTCCTTTGCCATTGGTTCACCCTCCAATGGCCGCCGCGGCTGGTGCGTGGCGGCCGGCACACCGCGCTGATCCGATGGCAGGAGCCAGGTACTTCTCCTGGTCTCCCATGGGGTGCAGGGCCCAAGTACGTGGGCCATCGTCCACTGCACTCCCTGGCCACAGCAGAGAGCTGGCCTGGAAGAGGGGCAACCGGGACAGAATCCGGCACCCCGATTGGGACTAGAACCCGGTGTGCCGGCGCCGCAAGGCGG